CACTCAAGCATCACGCAAAAATATGAAGCACTGAAAGAAAAACTTTCAGGCATAAGAGAAGCAACTAACCTTGAGAGATGCACAAAGACAAGAGACAAAGGTCATTTGGATAAAATTAGAGGAGATTTCAAAGCAGAATAAAGCCGCTAGTCAAATATCCAGTTTATTTTCTATAACTAATGGAGTTATTATGTACTTTAATATCTAAAAGAGGCTAAGCAAATTGGCCGCATTTGGCTTTGGTATCACGAATTGTGTCGGAATAACATCAAGTTTTCACTTTAAGAGGTAAAGAAAAAGCATGGAGAATGATTAAATGTAAGCATCCCCATCTCCCCCTCCTCATCACACTAAAAGGGTTATGCATGAATAGATTATGCTTGGATCAACAGTGAAGGATCTCTAATAAACTTTGATTTGAGGTGTGAAGAGTTTAATGTCATTAAGTTACCTGAGATTGTCCAACTAGTAGATGATTTTACTAATCTGTTGGACTACAGGGGAAAGATAGCTATAACAAGCCGGTATGTTAAGTACCTGCGGGTTCTAGAAGATGACACCAAACAAGAATGGTCTAAAGTTTTTGTCGTGGTTCTTTCTTGGAAAGATTTAACTGGTGTTACACGTTCTGGAATAAAGATGCACTTAGTATCGGTGAACTTATATTTGCAATTCACTCTTCCATAAACCCCTTCTATTTTATCTCTTACAATCTCAAGTAGACATTCATATAGTTGCCATGGCACACCATGTTCAACATATGTGTATGTCACTCCACGAGAGCAACTTAACATATAGTTTGACAATCGCACATAAAAATTTATCAAATGAGCAAACTACATAATAAAATATCAAAACAGTTATTGCCAAATATACATATAAAATTAGATATAGAGAATATTATGTTTAGAATGATTACCAAACAATCAGTCGAATAATAGTGATCTGTGGCAAGACCATATCCTCTATCCAAATTGTCAAGCATCGAATACATATATTGATGGGTGGATGGAGAGAGAGAGCATATTTCCTTTTAATACCGGCACTCCACAACCACTACCAGGGGCGGAGACACTAAGGTCAAAAGAGGGTCAGCTGACCCCTACTAATTAAAAAAAAACATATGTTATATCTTTAAACAAATTTATAATGACCCTGTATTTTTTTTTGGTCGTTATAATGATGACCCCCTTCAAGAAAAGTAATTGACTCCACCACAAAAATCTGAATTTAGAAAATTAATAAGACTCAAATTATTTGTTTAGGATGGACTCACGAAACAGTTGGGCTTTTATTAACATTGAGATCCAATATACATGATTCAGATCTCTTATATCAGTTTTTTCTTTGCAATACACAAACTCTTCGTCTTCTGATCGTCTCTTCGTCTCTTTGTTTGACAAACAAACAAAAATTCTCAAGTCTCCAATCTCAATCTCAATCACTTTTCAAGTTGAAGTTCAAGTTAGGAATTTTTGTTTTTTTATTCACTTTAGTTTGTTTAAATTTAAATTGGAAATTCCGTGACCGAAGTCAATCTTAGCTTTTCTTCAGAAAGAACCAAGTGTAGGAATCCATTATTTAAACCTTTATGAAGACAAATACTAATTTAGATGTTTTTGGCAGAAAACAACATTTCCAACCTTCTTTCAGTTAACTAAATGTTTATTAGCTATGATGTCCATAAAAGTGTGGGAAGATATAAGAAGAATATGACAATGACATCACTAATATGATACGCCAATTAACGTGTCTTGCTTTGTGTTGTGAGTTGGTACAGCCTATGTGATGTGAATCTTTTTTCATTTTTTTATAGATCAGAAAACTGAATCACCTTGTGTTAACACAGTTAGCCCCAAAACATAGGCAAATTGTAACCATACTGCTAAAGAAGTCTGATATAGCTCAAGCGTGTCTAATCAAAAGGCTAATGAACAAAATGATACTATTGCATGAACCTAAAGGTATGTGGCATGTTTGATGTTGAATTGTTTTCATCATTATTATTAAGGCATTTCATTTTTGTAACTCAAAAGTTCTATGAGTTTAGATCTGGTTAACCTATATAGTCCATCTAATGGTTTGACACAAGTTGCCTTGTATAGCTCAAAAAGCTTGTGGATAAGGTATACCGCATATGGACGCAGATGACTTGGGTGGCCCAAAAGACGTCTCTTTTAACTATTTTGTTCTGTTATCATCAGCATTTGATGATAAGGTATAAGAGATTCAAATAGCTTCCAAATAGCATTTGATCATCAAAGGTAAAACTTTGATGATAAGGGATTGGCATTTGAATCCTATATTGTTGTTTATCTAGATTTTTATTTTCCGATATTATTTTGCTAAAGGTGAAAGAAAATTTGATTTGCAAAAGGTGTGGTTTGCAAGAAATGAAATCTAACATCTAAGAAAAAAAAAACAAATGTCTATAATATCTAT